TTAAGAAAGTAACCACTGTCTTTGGGAAAACATTCAGAGTCTTATTCAACTGAGACTGTGAAAATGAGAGCACTTGGGGAATAGATCAGGGAACCTGGCAAGCACACTGCTGAGAAAGGGTTCTCACAACAAAAAGAATCTGCATATTCACCTCTATATTACCTAACAAGGACACTCCTGAAATTCAAGATTCATTATCAGTATATAGTGCACAAGTAAAAGGGTAAAGAACAGTTGTCTAGAAATAGGTTTTCTTATTTTCCACAAAAATAAAATATATGGTATTTGAGCTAAGCATATTGTACATCAAGTTCATTATGTAATCTGTAGGAATCCAGCAAGAGAAAAAAACAGGAGTAGGATTTGGCCCTAAAATGTCATTGTATTGGGATATGTCTCAATAGCTTTGTCTTTTGCATCAGAGAAATGTGTTCAGTGCTACACAAAATTCCAGTGGACACATTCTATCTGTTCCTTTCAATAAAATTATTTTTTTTCTGAGTTTCTGATTAATTTTCAATTTGCATTTTTAGTCAGAATTGGTATTTAATTAAGCAACTAAATTATAAACATAGCCTATAAACCTCTAGCTTCAGCTAACTCAGACAGTGACACTTACTCACTGTAGGTCATAGGCTTTTCTCTCATCCATTCTCTAATCTAGCTATTTGCCAGGTCACTTAAGGGACAACTTTGCTATCCTGTCTTAAGAAGGGCAATGGTTTCTTTCAAATCACGGAGAAACCTAATATAAAATGACTAAAACCAGGTACAGTAATTTTATTTATTTATTCATTTATTTATTCATTTATTTCTGTGCCTGTAACTGTCATCTATGCTTAATGGTTTTGGGTTTCCCACATAAAGAGACAGAGAAAAATGAAGATTAGCAGGTGCCTGGCACAAGGAAGATTTGTACTTGAGGTGATACACATTGTATAGAAGTGTACACATTGCATAGAAGTGTATGCATTGTATAAAAGTGCACATGTGAAGTTTTAGAGTGCAGAGGTAAAAGAAAAAAAAATCTCTAAAAATTCACTAATAATTTTCAATTAATTTTAATCAATTGTTTCCGAATTTCTAATTTCAAGAGACATTTTCTTTAATACCTAGAGGCATAAAAATATTAAACAGAATATTTGTGCTATCTAGCTTTAGGTATCTTAGCTAGAAGGGAAACTGTCTTTAGGGTGTTTTGTATTTGATGCTGTGAGATTGGCCTTTCACAGAGAAATCGTTGAAGGACCTCCAGAGCACTTGGGAGTCCCTTGCCTAAGGAACCTTTCCCTGTTGATCAGAGGGGTCAGCAGATCATCTGAGCCATGTGAGCTCCCATCAACTCATCCTAACAGACTGTGGCATGAATATCCATTCCACCAGAAATTGCCTATTCCCTTATTTATAAATTCCAAATAGATCTCCTATTTACAGGGCATTTAAAACTTTTAAGCAAAAAACCAGCATGAATCTCGGAAATCAGTGGAATTTTCTGACACTTCAGTTATGGACACAGTTGTTAAAGAAAGTAGTTTTAATAATTTGCTAGTAATTTTCAAGCCCCTCATTGACAAGGATCTCTTCTTTGAACTACATTCATGCAGCTTTGTAGTCATCACACCAGTCTATCTTTCCAGATGGAAAATTAGTTCATTGAAAGACTACTACCAGCTCAATGCCCCTTCCCATAACTGTGGTTGATATTGTTTGTGAAACCCCACAAATCCACAATCCATCTTCCTTTGGGTGTAAGACAAAGCAGTGCACAACTCTGTTTCACAGCATAGATGTGCACAGTCCCTCATACTTCTATGCAGCCAGTTCTACTCAGCTGCAAAGAGCAATTCAGCTGTGCTCGTTGCATGATGATCTTTAAATATTGGGATATAAGAACTCAAAACCCCCTCCCTGTACTATTGGAGAATATAGACCATAGCATCTTCATGAAATTAGGAACACAAAGAACCACCATCCCCGTAACCCACAGGTATAACTAGAAAAAGAAACATATTGCTAAACAAAGCCATATCAGAGAAATGCAAAACCACCTTCACAAGATTATTTTTCCTAGCAAGACCTTCATTAATAAATTGAGCAATCCTGTTACAAAACAGATACACTTTTTGCAGAGGACTATGAAATTATATTCTCTCAAAATACAAACTGTTTTTGAATTTAATAAAATTAAACTTTTCTGCATCATACCCCTTTAACAGAAAATACAACTTAATCATATTCCAAAACAGAAAATTACCTAAACTGCTAATAAATAGGTACACCATAATTAAGTATCAGTGTAAAAACATGGGCTAAACTACACCAAAATTAATTTTAATATTCACAAATGTTCTGATCAGTATCTTCATATTGTTCAAATCAAGGAAAAAAATAACAGTCACAAAACACATCTGTAATACATGCAGACATGCACACAAATAGTAATCACCTGAGTCCTTTTCCACTGTTGCTAAATAAAAAAAAAAATAGGGAAAGAAAAACATTGTTACAAAATACATATATATATAGAATACATATATATATAGAATACATACAGAATATATGAGAATTCTCATGTAACCAGAGAAGAATAAATACCACATAAGGAGTTAATAGCTTCTTAAAATCTTGAGTACATCACACAGGTGAAGGGTTTTTTCATGTGAGGGAGAAATGGTGCACGTTTCTGAGTAATACATTTGCATTTACTATCCCTATATAGTCTTTATTTCAAGTTCAGGCACTGAACTTGCATCCATATTGTGCCTGGGAATTCAGAAACATATATGATATTAAATGAATAAAAGAAAGTAAGAATATGAGAATATTATTTGTATTAGAATCTTCTTTGTATCTCTACTTCTTAGGCATTTGTTTTTGGTCTATAGCTGATATTATCTTCTAATATTTGCATTTTGACTGACTAATAGGATGTTGTTCACTAAAAAGAATAGAAAAAGGACAAAAATCTCAAAAATATATACTAGTCACATTTGAGGACATCAGTAATATAAAGATACAGACTCTATGCTTTCTGTACACAATTTGAGGAGTAAGCATTTAATGCAAACACTAACATAAATTACTTTCAAGAGAAGAATGTAACTTCAAAGCACAGATACAATAATGCTCCTATAAACCTAAAGAAGCAGAATGAAACCTATTGCTGAAAAATATTACATTTATATTGGTACAAAAGTAGGATGCTTTTAATGACCACTGTATCAAAAGATACCAATACAGGTCTCATTGCTACTGAAATCCAGTACATTGAATTTTCTGATATTACGATGCTGCAGTCCTTCACTTACAACAGTTTTTTATTCTCAGAAAAGTACTTCACCTATTTCTCTTTATACATGCAATGATGTATTGTGCTTTCAGTTTACAACTATGTGAGTGTAAAACTACTTAAATAAATCTAGTTGTGTTCCAACCAAAAGGCAATAAATAGAAAAAGGAAAACTGCAAGTTGAAATATGGGAGTCAGTTTCATGTGCTGTTCTAGCTCACTCAGTGTTAACAGTGTGAATATCCTAAAGTGCAAACTATGCTACTTCAGGGGAAGTCTCATAATTCTTTAGGATACAGTAAAAAATCTTGGGAAAAGATGCATTTACATCATGGCAAAAAACTTTCAAATCTATTTTTTTGTCAGTGTGTTCAGGTATCTTTTGCAAACTTTTGTAATATTATAAAAATGTTTCTATTTTTATATTCATTGTTTCAACAGTTTTGATACATGACTTAAATACTGAACATTAACATTTCCCTTTATGAATACAGAAATATGAAGACTAAGGAAAACACTTTTTTTCCTTTTAATTTTCCAGAATAGATTTAATATTCATCCTTTTTTTCTTTAACACAACATGATATCATAATTAATTATGATAAACTGGTTACTAGGATGGTTTCATGTTGTTACTTCCATGATATAATACAGGTTGCTATAGTGATGAGATGGATCTTTTGTTAATCACTTGTGAGATCAGTTAACTCATGTTTTTCTGAGAATTCGAGCAGAGATAAAAATGGGAAAAAAGTTGGCTTTATAATATTGCTAAATATATGAGGCTTCTTCAATTTGCTCCTAAGCTAGCTCTGTTTCTTCTGGTGTATTGCTAGAAATACATGGTATTAAAAAAAAATAACCTGCATAAAATCTGTACTATTTAAAAACAGAATTAATCTTTCAATATTTTCCTGAGATTAGCTCCAAAAAATCCAGTGCATACAGCTTTCTGTTCTTGAATACATCTAGACAGGAGTATCTCTAGCTTTTTTGTTCTTTATGGAGAGTAAAAGTCTGTCTTGACAAGGCATTTGACTATTATGACTTCCTTTTTGTTCTACATAATGTTTACAAATAATAAAATCATATTATGCATCCTGGCCATTTTTTTAAGAAAAAATTCAGTTAATTTGACAATATACTTTGTAGAATATACTGAACTTCCAGAAAAACTACTGATTACCTTCAAATCTAGTATTTTGTCCCCTTAATTCATTAAATCAGGATGTAATTAAGGTTTTAATAATCAGATTATTATACAACTGATAACACAGCTGCAAAAATAAATAGCATCTATTTGTCTGCCTCATAAATAGTTCAGAAAATAATCTATACAGTTTTCAAATTTCAAGGCAACGACACTGCTGTTAAGAATTTCCTGTCAATATTTTAATCCCTAGAAATAGCTAAAGAAATAAAAAATAACCCATAAACAACCTCTTAAATTTATGAAGAATTCAAAAGTAAGAACAAAGGGCAACTTAAATTAGGAAGTCCTAGTCTTTCATTCAAACAGGGTCCCAGGAGGCATATTAAAGCAATGAATAGGAAAAAGCTCCACAGTTCACCAGCTGAGATTTTAATGAGACATTTCCCCTTGCTGTGGAAGGGGTTTGTTCTGGAAAGGGAAAAGGCTGCTCACGGAATATGCAGTTAATAGGCATTGTTGGCTTTTACAGCCACTTGGGCAGTTGATTGCTGTACTAACCTTCTATTTTGGCATATTCTGTAAGTCGAGTGTAATTGATCAAGGCAGCCTTCTCCAGACATTTTCTAACCACTTTCTTCACCTCTTCTGCTGGTATGGGAGTGGCAATATCTTTCATTAAAACCTGTGTCAGAGACAATTACACCACTTCATTACAGTTATTACCCAAACTCCAGAGGAAAAGGATAAAAGTATCTTAAAGTTATGACAGATCTGATAACAGTTAACGGCAGAAGTCAAAAAGGAACTATTTAATCTGTTGGGCTGGATCTTTGTCTTTGAAGGTTTCTGTCCAGCCCTGATTTGATTGCCTGTACAGAATTTATCCCTCCTGTTTGGCAACTTGCAGCATGCCAGTCAGTCTTCGGGTGACATCGAGACCAGGGGAACAAGAGCATTCCGTGGATGAGTTGGATCATGGTTACCACTAAAGATGTGGCTTGGTTCTCACCTGTGGAAAAGCTTCCACCTTTGCAGAACCATGAACTCTTCAACAGGGTGAAGTCATTCAAATTCAACATGTCCTTGCTGTGAATAAAATGTCATCTATATAGTGGGCAGGGAAAACATTGAACTTCCAGGAGAATATTTTATTATGGACAAGTAGAAGAACAATCCATCCCAGTGTTTTCAAAACATGTGAGTACCTCACCTATTGCAAATGAGGTAAACCAAGAATCCATACCTCTTTCTACAAATGTACCATAATGTACTCTGGGTTACTATATTAGAAAAAAAAAATAAAATTGTGGATAATTCACATGGATTTTCACTTTAATTTTGCACTCCATTAACTTTTAACAGGTAAGTATAAATGAAACTCAGTATGTTTTTATCACATTTTTATGTAAATAATAAAATTTCATATAACTCACAACCTCAAAAAATGCTTCTCAAGTGGACCCCTGGACAAGCTACACCTTTATAGTTCTAAAAGTTACTGTTAAAAGAGGGACCAAGAGATACAGTCTGGGGAAGGACTTGGTAGAAAAGAAACAGGTTCAGCAACAGGGAAGATATTAATAAGGAAGACATTGCTGAGAAGCAGACTTCAAGAATACCTGCACACAAAATGACTTCTCTGTGTTTACTTGCTTTTTCAAATTAATAGCTTCTGGGTTATCAACAAGTGAATTTACAATATTCAAAGCCTTTTGTCCTTGGTCTGATATTTCTTCACATTTTTCAAGGAGAGGTAAAATAGAATGGTTCTAACTCATTCTGCATCCACAAATGTAGGAAAGCACATTTATTCCCAGTCCAGACTGACAGTGGTGCTGCTTGAGCACCAGTTAGAGCACCACTGCCGTTTGTAATGGCAGGAATGGGGAGAGGAAGTGGATGTTTCAAAAAGCACAAGGGAGCCTACAGAGCACTACAATCACTGAGATGGTAAGTGAAATAAAACATATATGCCTAGACTCCCTGTGTGTTTTCTGAACATGGCAGAGGTTTTCTAAGAGAATCTCTATCCATTAAGTGTTCTGCACTGCTGAATAACTAATATTTGCCAGGACCAAAACTCTCAGATTGTAGCAAAGCAACAGAGCCTGGGACCTAAACTTTCTTTGAATTCATACCTTCATCAGACTCCTGCTGATAGAATTCTTTTGGAATCTCTGGTGGAATTTAAAATCCTTTTTCCACAGAGATGACTGAGATGCCTTTATCATTATGAGGTATTCTCCTTTCCAGTCAATACAAGAGGATTTGCTGGGCAGGAGTTTATATTTATAGATACCCATGTCAGATTTGCTGTGTATAGCTTTTGTTTCTTAAATTGACTAAGATTATACATTTATAGAATATTATTTGAATTTTAGAGAAGTTTTTTAATATTACATATGAGTATATTAGCATCATAGAAGGCATAAACAGCAGGAAAGGGGGGCTGTAGAGCGGACTTGTACTGCTTTAGAGGTCATGCTGGATAAGTGTTAAATAAAAAAGGAACAGAGTCACTGACTGCAATTCAGTGGCTTGAAGTGAAAGTCCAGTAAATAAGCCCTACAGAAAACAGCTGTTTGCCTTCTGTGGAAGACAATGAGAGAAAAACAAAAACAACCATCATTCCAATAAACAGTTAGAACCAGCAGTAAAATACCTGAGAAGACATGAGTCTGATGAATGCAAAAGAAAAATGATCAGTAGTCATGCAGAACTTAAAGTACGTTCTCAAACTTACCCTTTCAAGTAATGAAAGTGTGGCCTTTAAAGCTCCTTCAGGACGTCCAAAAGGGAAACAGTATCTTAAAAATTAAAAAGAAAAAAAAAAAAAAGAAAAAAAAGAAAGGAGAAAGAAAAAAATAAGAGGAACATAAAATTATCAGAATTATAAAAGCTGTTTTATGAATTTAAGTTGTATCTGCATACAACTTGCATGAAATTATGTTAGCAGAAGACTCCCATATCCAAAGTACTAATAAAAGCAGAAAGCCTCTTCAGTAGTCTACCATGGAGTACATACATATCACAGCAGTATCAGCCTGCCAGCATTTTAGGCCTAAGTGCAGAAAAAACCCTAAAAGACAGAAAGCATCACTTCCAAATTATCACTTTGAAGGATATTTAAAGGTTTGTGATGAGTCTAATTGTCATCTTCCTGAAAAGAGGTACTATTTCTCATTGTAGCCATGACTGTAACTGGACCTGTGAATCAGCATTCTTTATATTGTATTTCATTCTAAAATTAGATTAAGACAAGGAAAAAAATGTCATGTATTTTTATTTCTAGAGATATAAATGCTGGCAGATATTCCATATTTTTTCTATTATACTAAAAATACCTTGGAAAAGCATTTTTCTTAAATTTTATCATCTACACTTAAACCATACCCACTCCTAAAATTATGTACATTAAAAAGTGATTGCATTCATAGCTTTATTTTTCATTTTTGTCTGCTGAATGATGCAATATCGCAGGCCAATGAGAATACAATGCTCAGGCAACTGTAACCTCTCTTAATCCTGTCTATAAAATCTTACTGGGATATCCCCAATTGGAAAAAGGATTTTTTACTTTGCTGAGATTATTTTTTTCTTATTATTACTCACCGAGAATGGTAGCCTCCTGTTCTAATGTTTTCCACTAGTCAAATCTTTTCTAATGATAAAAGGATTCAGACCAGTGAATTTTAGATCTACATTTTGCTCAGCCAAAATAAAGCTTTATAAATGAGGTCAAAACAGGATTTCTTGCAGCGAGAATTCCAGTATTTGCTTTTATCTCTGTAAAGACTCCAGAGATAAAATTCACACAGCCAGACAAGAGGTTAAAGCCCAAGACCTTCATGATAGCTTTCTCAGAAATATTGTCTCTTCCACATTTGCTGCCTGAGAGGCTGGCAGAGATCTGGAGTCTCAGTGGGTAGACAAGGTGACAGGGAGGAAAGGTGTAAGTACCTTAAGAACTACTTTAGATGACAGCCACTAGCACAGGACAGGCTGACTGCATCTTAATCATAATGGAACCAGGCTGATAGCAGTGAAAATGAAAATTAAAAAGGCCATGGGGGAGTATTAAAACTGGAAGCTGTGGGTCAGTTGGCAGGCAAGGGAAAGCGTCTTTTTCAGATGGGTGTGACCTAGTCACTGAGGTGGACGCAGCCAATGTTCAGAGGTGCTCTGAAAAGGCAGGAAGAGACGTGCACCCTTCAGTTAAACTGTCCATGACAGCTGACCAGTGCACACAACACTAAGCAATGGAGAGAGGGCAAAGCTCGGAAAAGTACCAACATATTGCAGAGGAAAAAAAAAGTGCTGATGATCCTTGAAAATCTGTACCACTGATCCCCTAGTTATAATGATCAGTGTGATTACAAAATGTTAAGCAAGATTAGAGGAGCTACAAATTCAAGATTTCAACTCTTGGCATATACACTTTACTGATATCTCATTAGGACAAGGTATAATGACAATATTTTGGGACACAGGTTTGAATTGCATCCTTGAACAGCTTATTTAAGTCCCACAAAAGAAGATCTTACTCTGGATTCGGTCTCAAATGTGAAGAGGACATAGTTTGAGAGGTGCAGAGCAGAAGAGGTGCTCTGGAGTATTAATTACAAGACAATACAATTTAATAATGTAGCAAAAGAGAACAGGCCAAAAAAAATTCAGTACATGTATATTTAGTATACGTATATAAAATTTCAAGAACAGGATCTATGAAAAAAATGAAGGACTTGAAAAACCAAAGCAAAAACTTTAAAGATGTATTCAAAAAAAAAAAAAAGGAAGAAACCTACAAGCAGCCTGAGATAAAATTCAAACAAGTAGGAGCCAAATGCATGACACTATTAAGAAACCAAAGTAGCAACAAACTAACAAAAACCCTCTCTGTGATTCCATGAGGAAGATAAAGAGGTTACCATAGAGAATCTGGCATTTAAAAATATAAAACTTATCTGAATATGGAGGGCATGAAAGTCTCTGAAATATTCTAGGAAATATAACAAATAAACTGCATGGATACCTGAACTGACAATAAAAAGGACAGCAGAAGCAAGAAACCAGCCTGGGAGCTGGTGGGAGTACCTGACGACAAGGAATACAGGGAATTCAAGAACAGTAAGCCCAAAGCAGAGAAATTCAGGGTATACTCTGCATAAATACTTACTGTTGAATGTAGTTTTCCAAATATTCTGCATTTCACAGTAATCATAACAATTTTGAAGGACTGAAATACAGAGTTGTTTTAATACCATGTTTTCCTAAGAAAGCAATCTGACACCCAAGGTTATTCTTTGTTAATCAACAGCGGTGATCCTTATACATGTCTTGAGTCAGGTCTTTATTTAAAATATTACTTCCAATCCTTTGTCAGGATGTCCTACATTGTGACTTGATATGCTTTATAAATTCAGATTCTAAGTCATCATCTTTTTATTTCTTCCAGTATTATGCCATTACCCCTGGTTAAATCCAGACATTCCACCTATTTTTAAATTTTATTTCTAATATTTGTACACGGTAAGGAATAGTAATTACTCCTCACCTGGCAGACCACAGTTTCTCTGCATTGATGAAATAGGATTTTAAGGCAAACCTTAGAGTCCTCTGAAGGATGAAGTCATTGATGTTTGAATGACACATTTAATTGCTCTCAAGGAGGAATTTCTAATCTGTTTAAATTTGCTCGAAACCACCAAGACTGAGGCAGAAAGATTCTATGGTCACTGCTGCGGCCCAAGCTCATCAACACAACTCTAATGTGAGGGTTAGCAGACATGATGGGGGGATTTTTATTTGCTCCAACTCAAAAGATCATTTAGACTTTATTATACATTTGGCAATTAACCTCATGCATGTGAAGGCCTGAAGGCAGGCAGTACTCTGTATCATCTCTCTTGTAAGAGCTCTTTATTCCCATAGAAGGAAGGAAGGAGGAAAGGAAAGACTCTTGTCTTTCCCTGAAAGGAATACTCAAAGGAGAACCCTAGCTCTCTATTTTAATATGGATATGAAGTCCCAAGTGAAGGCTGCTATGTCCTCTGTGCTCAAAAAAATCACTAATCTCCTGTGATGCCACTAGATATTTACCTCATCAAACCAGAGAGGCATTCGACAAACTCATTGTCAACCCTGCCAAACAGAAGTTCTGTTTCACAAAGAACTATTTGGAACTGGCTGATATGATGTGACACAGAGGCAAAAAATTCTATACAGTCTAAAAGGATTAGATTGGCAGAATAGTGGCAGATAGGTTGGTTTAGTGTGACAAAGTAACAGGTTTGGTGGTCTACCTGCAATTTTTACACTAAGTTTCATAAGTTTCGTAGCATCAATTGCTACGAAATAGTCGGGAATCCCATGTTTTCTGTTTCTTGTACTCCTTCTCTAAACATCTTCTGCTGGTATTGACAGCCCTTAATATGACAAACTCTTTACTGAGCATGATGACCCTTAACTTAAAAAAGATAAACGTATCATGAAACCAAGAAAACAACATTAGATATCAAGAAAAGTTTTAGCTGCCATCTATCAAAGATGTTCTCTACTCATGTGATTTTACTGATCTGCAGTAATCCAGAAATAGTTATGGCACAGTTACTTTCATTCAGAAAATTTTCTTGGTTCAATTTATACAGAGCTTGAACTTTAAAAAAATCTACAAAATCAAGGCCTATAATCTTGCATAATCTTTTCTATCATATCTATCAACTCACATGTAACACAAATAAATTTCAAGTACAACCACTTGTGTAAATCAAGTATTCCATATTTAAGCTATTCCTTTGCAAGCAGACCATTTTCTTTCCAGTCCACTAATTCAAGACCAAAATTAAACACCACCATTTTTTTTCCAGAAAAAATGTAACATTCATTGAATAAATTATACACTCACCTGAAATGGCTTATTTGGTTTTCTAAAAGAGAGGAAAGTCTGTCCTTAATTTCCTCAAACCGTTCTTTCTCTTCCACAGATACTGTTCCAATTCCATCTGGCCTGTAATGTCAGATATTTAATAATCATTGGTATCACTTCAAGCTGATTTGTCTTTTGACAATGATGTTTATTTCTAAAGTTTTCATTTAACATGAGTGTTAACTCCGCTTTTGTCTTTCTCATTGCCTTAAAGGATAAACAGTTACTTGTGAATATAGTTAAAGAACAGGCTGCAACCGGACAAAGAAATTAACTTTTGAGCTGAACTTTTAAATTCAAGACCTAAGTTTTTACATCATCTCAATATGAACACAAGTTAGCATAAAATTCTCTCAAATCCTTTCAAAAGACAGTATCTTTTCTCAAGAAAATCATTACTATTGTTACAGTAGAGAGGCCTACACAAATCTTGCTAAATTTCATCTCCTTGAATTTTCTGTTTATTTTCCTAGAGGCACAATATAGCTAAAAGTGATTATAAAGTAAAGGTGGGAGGGAAACTACAGTGAGAAAAGCCACAACAGGCAACACCTAGGAATCCTGCATGGTGAGGATAGAGTTTGATTCTCCATCCTGTATTGACAAATAGCATCATGTACTCAAGACTTCCATATAGGTGCAGCTTTAAAGATGCAACTAAAAAGTCTTAAAAAAAAAAAAAGCACTGGCATTTTTTTTAAATATCAAATTTAAGTCACAATAATTCAAAATAAGTTTATATTTAGTATGCTAAACATACACTTGGTCTAGAGTCTTAGCCTAAAGGGTTACTAATGTATTTATATTGAAATGATGACAGAAGTAAAAAAAAAATTAGATACACAGTTCCCAAATATTATTTTTGCCATGCAGTCACAGCTTCCCCACATACAGCATACTTTAAAAAGAAGTCTCTGAAATGTTCCTGTTACTTTCTTAACTTCCAGCTCCAAAGGTAACAAATCAGCTACTGCTTCTCACCTGAGTTTCTGAACCTCATACTTTGTTTGGATCTGCCCTGTATCTTCTCCAGAGCCTCCAAAACTATCTCAGTGTTTCTAGAACTGAGAAAATTGTAGTAAAATAACATTAAGAAAGACGATATTCTTTCTTGGAACATTCTGAATGTTCCAAGAATCATTCTACGAGCATCTTTTTCCTAAATTGTTACTTTAACTTTCTGCACTATACTTAAATCTAGGAGGGATAAGTTGCTACCTGGTCATGACATAAACAATTCTCCTACCGTTTAAATCACTTATATTTGTGACCTGTCAAGTCAAGGTGGAAAGAATGCCTGATTTCCTTAAATTATTGTGATGACAACAATAAAAAATCAGATATGGAGGGGATGGGGGTAGTCAGGCACATCAATACACCACTGTATAAATTTGATGTGAAAGAGCAAAAAAACTTATCTTCTCTCTTTGATGGGTGCCAGGATACTTTACCTCAGCCTTCTGACAAATGGAATGAGCTCAAATTTAAGTAAATTGCACTGTCTGATTTCATTGTCAGGAGAGATTGCGCTCTGGACCGATAAAGTAAATAGTTCTGTCATATTAAGCCTCGCTGAGGCATGTCATATATATGTCAGGAAAGACCTAGGGGTCCAGATAACAGTAAGTGAAAAAGGTGAGCCAGTAGGATGTCATATCTGTCATCCTGCACTAAGGCTACGATCACTATGTACCAGGGCCCTGTCACATCACTGAGTTTGTTGTCATAAGGAACCTTGTTGACAACAGCTAAAATTTTCAGAGCTGCTAAATATGTTTGTATAGAAGCAGATGTCCCAGAAGAAGGAGTACACAAAAAGGTGTTGGAAAACTATCACTTATAGCACTGAAAAAACTCATCTCTTGAAAATATGCTTTAAGAAAATAGCACAAAATTTAAATCTAAATATTGTTTCTTCTTGTTGCAAACTTTATTGCAACAAGAATATAAAAATGCATTTTTGCAATACAGTTCTGAGACATATCATGCTGGTGATTCTCCTTTAGGGAAGATATACCTACTACTGATTAGAAAAGAATCCATGGAAAAAAAGAATCTGTTTCTGAGATAAGCTGAAATAATAAAAATAGATAAATACTTCAAAATTCCCACTCATTTAATTTTCTGGATATTTTTTCTATATTTATTTTGAAGACTGATTAAAATAAATTTCACTATTTTGATCTGGCTATTTTTATTGATGAATTCCTGTGCCCACAAGGAAAATCAGACTCATGCCGTCATTTAGTTTTCAATGGTTTAAATCATCCATAAACTATGCAAGAACTATTTTGCAATTAAAAGCAATAACAAATGTGTCTTTCCTACTGTCTCAAATTATATGGACTTGATTTTTTTCAATTCAAAACCAGTACTAAGCTTTAATACTGCAGCCTGGGACCTCTCTTACAAGAAATCAGCCAAGAAAAGTGATGGACTCTCTTAAGAAGAGTTTTCATTTTAGCATCATTTCCTCAAGAAGGTAATGGAGAGTGAATTTTGCTTTCCTCCACACTCTTTTTCCGTCTTATTGTTCACAACATTTTTTAGAATTAGAGAACTAGATGAAATAGAACACTTAAAACTGGATTAGCCTTCTCTCTCTCTCTCATATATTAATTTACCATTTTTTGAGAACTCTGTCAATTGGATTTGGATTGGCTTGTCTTTTCTGCTTAGATCACAGTCTAACTGGCATAAATGTAATGTTGTCTGGCCAAAAGTCAAATTGTTCACAAGTCAAATTGTTTAATTCACTCAGACTTAAATATCAGAAGAGATTTGAAATTAATACCGCATGAACTAAAGCTAGTAAATTCAAGTGGAAAGTAACTGTTTAATCATAAATCACTTATATAATGAACCAAAATTTGATTGACCAGAATTTTAAAACTTATTTTACTGCAAAAATCTTGCAAGATTGTTGTCCTGACAGAAGTTACTCTGGAGGAGCTGACTGATTTCTGTTTTCTTCTTGCAATGGACTGTTTTTCCTCATTTGATATAATCCTTTACGGTGTGGGGCATCATTTAGAATTATTTTGTTCTCTAGAGGTCTTACAGCCTGCAATAATTTGCAGAGGTCACTTGATGAACTGTAGGATTAAGATTACTGTGAAGACCTACAGCACATAAAATAAAACCACATTCCAGTTCCAACGGGAATTAGATCTGAAGGACACTGGGTTGGCCGTGGATTGTTTCCAGCCCTCAACTTTGGAAACAGCTTCTCCTAGTGGCCTCTCAGAGAGTGAATTGTTACCCCAAGCAAGGCTGCTTTGTTAAGACAGCCTTGGAAATACTAACTGTACATGCCTGATTTTTTCCTCTGGAACATCATTGATACTGGTGCTTTCATCTTTATATATTTTTAAAATTATAAAAGTATTTTCAATGTGCTTTCCTCATTAAAAATACAGACCATCAATTTAGTGTGTCATGAAAACCAAGAGTATAAGGAGAGTAATGCACAGATTTATATTCTAACCTACACAGGTATGAGCAGTAAGGCTGTCTGAAAAGAATCTGCAATCCAATCAGAGCAAGATGAGAAATTATTATAAAAAACAAAATAAAAAAATACTTCAGCTAAGGTCTTTAAGATATTTCTGTAGTAAACTACATTTCAAGGACATAGAAAAAACAAAACCAAACTTAAAAGGCATCCATTCTTCTAGAAAAAAATTGTTTTAGAAGACTTCAGTGCTTACTAAAAACACTTGTTTTTATATTCAGCATGATGTACAATCAAATGAAAGAACAGTGACAAATTTCAAATTACCAGCATAAAAGTTTCCTTGTTGCTTAGAAAACCGAAGATTAAATATTTTAGAATTTGATGTAGAATTTTTATTATCTGTTTATAGGACTTACTATTTAAGAACTCAAATATCCAAATTTTCCTTTAAAATGCAACTGTATTAAGGCTTTTGCAGAGTCCATGGTTCATGCTGCAGAAATATAAGAGCGATGATTTCCACTATCAGCTTATAACTGGACAGAGCAGACATCTTTTTATCACAGAAAATTAAGACATTACCACATGGCATTCAAACACAGCTTTAACCAGCAGATACTTGAAAACTGTGCATTTTGTTGTTTATAGTAACTACTCTTCAAATATTCTGACATAAAACTGGCACAATAGAGCCTTCTGCTGTATGCAGTTCTCAGGCTGCTCCGACATCTGCTCACAGGTCATGCCTTTTTTTCACAACAGAACAAAAAAGACCAATTCTGAAGGTCACTAAAACATATTAAGATCACAAATCAGGTTAATTTTAATATTTTAATAATCTTTTATGCAGATATATTTTAGGAGAGATTGATTAATGCCCTTCTACTTAAAAGCAAAGTGTGTACTAATATAATACCATTTTACCCAATGCATATGGGTAAGTAAAGGCAGTAATAAGTTGAAATTAGTAACAAAATACTGTATAATTATATTATTAATTGGCAAGTGTATGTAATAATATTCCTTCACTGCCTAAAATGGCAAGTATAAAGGAGAAATCATCAATATATATACAACTTTAAAGTCAAGTGAGTGAGAGAATAAAATACCTATTCCAGAAAAAACCTATTCCAGAAAAAAACAACAGAAGAGACAGAGCAATGTAATGATACTATTTTCTTTATTATTTTAAAGTTCTTTGTCTTAGATTTAAAAGGGATGATTTCTCTAAACAGTCTTTTATGACTTAACACAAAATGTAAAATTTCAATAAGCATTTCTTACCACAAAATGCTGAAAAATGAGAAGAAATATATGAATGCATAGCATTATCCAAAGTTTCCATGGTTTCACTTCTCTTGTGTGTCCCTTTATTCTACTCTAAGATATTTCCTCCAAGCATAACCAAAACAAGAAGCCTATCAGAGAGTCTACATGGCCAAGTGATGGCAAGGACCTAAAAGTAGCTCTCAGAGAGGGCAAGGCTATTACAAAGATAGAAAATTATTTTTTTGTACTTGTGTATTATTATGAAAGAAATTATTATGAAGAAGACTTCTGTGGTGGAACCCTTCTTTGTTCATAGCATAAGAATTCTTAATTTTCAGCAAAGTATGTTTTAAAA